GCTGAATGACTGTACGAAGGAAACTGAACGTGCGACACAAGCCGCATTGAGTCGAAAGAATGAAGGCCAACTTGTCAATGGAGAAAGTGGTACAATCCGTTCTGGCACCCGACTATCGGCATCAGATCAGGAGATGGTTCTTACCATTTCTGAACGCAGAAGACAACATATATTGTTCAAAATCGGTGAATCTCCGGATGCGTGGCGGCAACGCCGTCGTTTCTGGACGAATACTTTGATTGCGCCCACCACTGGTCGTCGTGCGAAACAAGCAGACGGCGATCCCGCACCGTTAGTGTTCCAGGGAACCTTGGATTACGAAGATGCTTGCCTCGTCTGTCGATTCCTGGCCAGTTTGCGTCCCTTCTCACAAAGCTTTGATGTGTATCTCACTCAAATTTGCAGGGTAGGTTCTTGTGGTGCTTAGTTTGATTGACGCCACCATACTTCTAACAATGATTTGTAGTACACTGAATTTCAATCACTGCTGATAATCTATGAATAAATGATTCGACTTTTACAGCTCCTCAGTGAATCATCGGTGGCTGTCAGAACCAAGGCACTTCGTTGCCTTTCTGCTGTGGTTGAAGCCGATCCGAACGTACTTGCTCGTGAAGATATCGAACGTGCAGTACAGTCTCGGTTGCTAGATACATCCACCTCTGTGCGAGAAGCTGCGGTGGATCTGCTGGGTCGTTTCTTGGGATGCAAACCGGAGTTGACTGCCCAGTACTATCCAATGTTAGCAGATCGTATTCGAGATAAAGGAGTCAGCGTACGTAAGCGGGTCATCCGGATTCTGCGTGATATTTGTCTGGAACAGCCTGATTTTTCACGGATTCCTGAGATTTGTGTGAAAATGATCAGACGTGTCAATGACGAAGAAGGAATCAAAGTGAGTCTTTGGCGTATAGTGCTTATTTCGGTAATGTTATACGCTGCGTATTTCAGGTACCAATATAATATATTTTCTATTGCTTTTGGTATCTTTGACAAATCCAGACGGGTTGTCGGTCTCATTCTACAGCTTATTGCTGATTTGTGTCTCCATTTCTCTCTCCTGAGATCTTTAATTGTCACAAACATGAACGCACTACTTACAAGTAACAAATGTACGAACCTGCTGGTTTAATGTGCAATGTTGTTCCGCTGGTCAGAAAATAAATCAAGTTGACAATCTCTTGATCATTGAACGGGCTACATCGTAGTATTTATCGAAGTTAAGTTATTATACTCATGTATTTCCTCTACCCACAAAATGACAAAATTGCCTAACGTCTTCCGCTACATCTGTGAAACACTGTCTTTGCAGATTTTAGCACTGTTTTCAACGAAAATTCGAGTACCGTATTTTTCGGACTATAAGGCGCACAGAAAATCCCTATATTTGTAAAAAAATCGGCAATGCGCCTTATATTCCGGTGCGCCTTATGTATGAACAGTGCATGTTCACACTGCGCTGAAAAATCTGTCAAAATATTTTATTACGACTTTGGTAAGCGACGAAGCCACTTCCCTTGATTGTCGAAGCATAATCGCTGCTGGTCTTAAACCTCGTATAGTCAGCTTTCTATGCTGTCTAGACAGACTTGTTTTGGGGTGGCTAACTGTTGTAACAGCAAAAAGTTATACGCTGGATTGCGCAGGGCGAGGTTGCTGCCACCTTGGGCCGAGGACTT